CACACACACACTGCTGACCCCATCGATCCCGCAGACCCTGCAGATGGGGATCTACCATTTCTCCGGGCTGTTTGTGCTGCTGTGCATCGGGCTGAGCGGAGCGCTGCTCACCTCGCTGGGGGAGCACGCCTTCTATCGCCTCATCCTGCCCCGCATCCGCCGCCAGAAGCGGTTCAGCTACTGGCTGCACACCAGCCAGGTGAGGAAGAGGAGGGCGCTGCCTTCCTCCCTCCTCCCCACAACCCCCACCTCCATCATCACCCTTCCTTGTGCCCCACAGAAAATCCACCGCGCTCTTAACATGGGCACGGAAGAGCAGAGGAGGCAGAAGCTGAGCTTGGAGCAGAGGTAAAGCGTGGCACGGGCAGCAGCACCGCTCTCCTCCTCCCCACAGCCCTGGGGAGGCAGAGGAGCTTCCCAGCCCCAATCTTCTCTCCTCCCCCAGGCAAAGCCCCCCCCAGCAGAACCCGGCACCCGAACGGAAGGAGGGGCGCAGGGTGCGCTTTCAGCTGGACACCACCGAGGGTCCCGCAGGGCCCCCCAGCAATGGGTTGGTGCAGGGGGAGCGGGCAGGGGGCGAGAGCGAGCTGCAGGAGCTGGAGGAGAAGATCGAGGCGATGCGGGAGCAGCTGCGTGCGGCGCTGCTGAGGAAGAGCGAGTTGGTGGCAGCGCTGGGCACAACGAGGGGCCCAGGAGCAGAGCAAAGCCAGGAGGACAGGTGAGCACGAGGGGTTTTAAAGCGTTTTAACAGGAGAAAAACCAAGCCTGCGTTTTCTCTTCCAGCTGCACTGTGAAAGCAGCAGAGTACAGCTGACAGCTCTGCCCCACGGTCAGGTCCCAGCCCTGCCCCAGCACAGCAGCCTCCAGGGCTCAGCAGCCACAGGAGATCCCCACGCTCCGAGCCCAGGAGGAAGGAGCAGCCCCAGGGTCAGGGCTGAGATCCCAAAGGCCGGAGAGCCAGCAGCAGGGAGCTGACATCACACTGAGCTCTGGAGCCACAGCCAGAGAGCGCAGCCCCCTGGGGCAGAGGGACGGACATCACCAGTGCTGGCCATTCCTCAGGCTGCAGAGAGAAGAGCCCAGCCTCACCTCCCTTCGAGGCAGCAGAGGAAAGGACTAAATTCAAATGCAAGAGACCAGGGGCAGCTGTCAACAGCCAGGGATGCCACAGGCACAGGTCTTCCCTCCCTGCAACCCTCTCACTTATGCAGAGGTTGCACTGCTGGGGCCTGAGCTCAGCCCTCCTCCAGGATCCTCAACATCACCTTCCAGCAGAACCCCATCTCAGTGCTAGCAGGACATCAGAACAGCACCAAGCAGCTGTTAGATATAATATTTATTATTATATACAAACACATTTTGTACATTAAATAGAATGAACTCTACTCCTCATTCATCAAATGATTTGGTTTGTTTTCCCACCTTCCCTTCCCACCCACCCGCTCCTCTTATAAGCCTATGGTTACTCCTTGCTCTTGCACCCTGGCACATCCATGCTCAGGAGCCTCGTCATGCTGCCCAGCCCTCCCAGGAAGGCAGCTGCAGAACTGTCTGCCCTGTGCCCCAGAGCAGCACCCAGGGCTCATCGAGCCAAAAAGAGAAAAAAAAAAAAATCAGAGGGCACCCACGTGGGAAATGCAGAGAAAATGAAGCCAGAGGGCTGCGAGTCCCCACGCTGCCAACATGGAAACCCAGCCCTGGTGGAAGCCACAGCAGTGCCTCCAAGGGAGAAGGGCACACTGATGCTGCTGGGAGGCTGGAGTCCCCTGCAGAACCCAAGCAGCCCCCCTCCACCTCCTCCCAACAGATTTCTCCCTGAGCTTCTCTCATCCCAGCCCTGCAGACACGGCACTCTCCTGCATCACTCTGCTTTTGCAGTCTTGCTCTACCTGCAGGTTTTAAGTCCTAACCCCCACCTGAGTCCAATCGAGCCCTGGGGCACCAAGGGTAGCACTGGACTGGGGCACAAATCCAAGCTTCACCTCTGCTGCCAAAGAAATGAGGGAAAGTTAGCTGAAATCTGTCTTTAGTGTTTTGGGTCTTTGCTAAACCACCTCACAGAACAGCTGAGCCACAGCTGGGCCAGCACAATGCCAATCTCTCCTCAGGGATGGGGCTGATCTTAAAACACAAACGTGTCCCATTTAAGGGACAAGGCACTGAAAAACAAACAAACTCACCTGCAGCTGCAGGTGCCGAAAGCAGAGCTGTACAGAGACAGAGCTGCTGTCCTCCTCCTCTACAACAGATCCTGAGGCTACAGGTCAGCTCCCAGAGGATACTGATGGCAGGAGCTCTCACTTGACACATTGAAGAGGGGCCAAACTCACCAGGGTCTTGCAGTCACCAGCAACAGGTGACAGCATTCCTCCAGGGCTGAATAAATCCTTTACTGCTTCCAACCACAGACAAATGCGTCCTTCCTTGGGTGGATGCTCTAAGCTGGACCTGGACACTTCTCCCCCCTAAACCCACTGACTAAAGGAAGTTTAATGTCAGGAGAAAAAAAAAAAAAAAAAGAAAAAAAGAAATGGGGCTAAAATGCAGTTTCTGCTTTGGTTATTACCCAGCTTTGCTCTGGTGTGAGCAGCTCCAGTGTTGAAGGGAGGTACTGAGCTTCTTTTCCCCTAGAAAAAGGAAGGTGACTTGTTTCTCCTTGGCTGTTGGTTGCTCTCCCAGGGGTGTCTGAAGATGCTCTCCCTGCTCACACACAGCTGCTATTCTAACCAGAGAGTCACCATGCACACACGTGGTTTGTCACAAATCAGCTCATGTTTGCAAGCAACACCCAGACTGCCAACACAACCTCAGGGGGCAAAGAAGAGCTGTGACAGCACACTGACAGCACGGAGAACACAGCCAGCCTGCTCACCCACAGCCTCAACAGTGGCACAGGGCTCCCCCGGTGCCTTGCAGGCAGAGGGAACAAATGTGCCCTTACTTCCTCCTCTTTGTAGGGAGAATCTGGCACTGAGCAGTCCCACGTGTGCCAGCCTCATATGTGCACACGTGTGCATTTCTCTGGGGAGATCACTGCAGCATCTTTTCTCTGTCCCAGCTGCTCTGCCTCCGTTAAGAGGAATTCATGGGTTAAGGATGATGGTGAAGTGAGAAATAGTAACAAACGAAATCCAAATGCCTTCCTGGCAGTCCAGAGTGACAGTAACAAGGACTCAAGACAGGCTCCTCAAGTCTGGCTCCGAGCAAGGCCTGGAGCTAGCTGTACTATCTGCTGGTGCTGGGCAAGGGCCACTCTCCCCCCGGTCCCCAAGAGCACAGCCCAAGAGTTTGTCCTGATCAGTGTTCTCCACAAAGGCCGGAGGGGACTCTGCCACACTGCCATTTGCAATGCAGTTCTTGCCACTGGATTTTACTTGGCTGTCTGAGCTCTCCACAGCCTCAGTCTGCTCAGCAGGGGAAGGGCTGGGGTTGGAGTTCCCATCCTCCTGCACAGGGATGGGGGCAGGAACTGCAGCTGCCTCTGTGGCAGGGGAACCATCTGCAGCAGCAACCACAGATGCTGAAGTGACCTCAATGGTGATGGAGCCCACAGCAGTGTCTGGATGCTCACTGCTCACCCTGATGCGTGCGACCAAACCAGAGGCAGCAGAAGCAGCAGCATCCTGAGGGCTCCCAGCAGCCATGGCTTCGTGCACCACATTCGGCTCCAGGAGAGAAGAACTCAGGTCAGAAAGAAATGAGGCCTCTGTAACGATGGCAGCTGTCTCAGCAACCCAGTTCAGGTCACTCCCAACAGAAGAGGCTGCAGCCGTGGTGATGACGCTGGAGGCCTCGCTGGGGGCCAGAGCTGCTGGGCTGCTGCTCTCTCCGGAGGGGCCAGCAGCCAGGTGGGGCCTGTGGCCCCCCACCTCTGCCCCAGCTGGGGTAGTGTTGTTGTTGAGGTTGTCTTGGAGAGTTGTTTGAGTGCCCTGACCCACCTGCTGGTTCTGCAGCAGCATCTCCTGGATTCTGATCTGCCGGAGAATAGCTGGCAGCTCGTAGTGGTGGAAGAAGTAAATCATTGAATGCTGGAGATGGTAAAGGGAAAGGAATCACTCAGCAGGTTTGGGCTGCAAGCCTAGACACACCTCACAAAACTATTCTGTCATCCCTATGTGCAGACAGCAACCAGAGAATCTGGATGCTAAGACCTTAACTGAAATTTTGCAAAGATCTATCCCCTCTATTTGAGCTCCTGCAAACTGCTGTCAGAGAGCAACTCTGAAGACACGTCATGGAGTACAGCTCCCCTTCCTTTGTAGGGGTGAGAGTGAGGCTAAAGGCATTTCCCTCCAGCCCACCTTCAGCTCCACGTTTGCATCTCAGAGCACAGGGAGGGAGCAGCTCAGCACAGATCTGATCCATTCCTCAGCCTCTACATGGGAGATTCTCAGTGGGATTTACTCCAGAGATGAGACAGGTATCCTTCCTTAACACTTCCCAAAGCTCACTTGCCATCAGCCTATTGTCAGTCACACGGCTGATGTGAGGAGTGACCAACTCCTGCAGTGTGACAGCCTCCTCTTGTCACCCCATTTCCAAACCTGACACTCAAACAGCAGTTTGACACAGAATTTGATTAAGCCCAAACCACAGCCTTACACCACTTTTTGACACTGCTGATTACACACACCGTGGCTGCTGCCATTTCAATTGCATGCAGGCAGACCAACCAGGACTGAACTCACAGGATGGCACCTGCCCCCATATGTGGGTGCATTAATATGAGCAGGAACAGCAGCTACTCACCTGGATGAACAGCCACGAGGTGACCAGAGCCAGGCTGCTGTACTGCCCATTGAATCGATAGTGGTAGGCATAGAAGGCAAAGTGGTACAGATAAAAGAACCTGCACAAAAAAAGCAGCAAATATCAGGATACATCAGTGGACAGAGCAGACCTGAGCTCCTCTCTAGTCATAACTCTATTCTGAGCTGGTGCATTTTGCACAGGGAGGTCTGGGCAAATGTATAATTAGCATGGCTTCACTGTGAGCAGGTCTTCAGCTGAGCAAAACAAAGGGGAGGGGTGATTCCTGACAGTCATACTTGAGACCCAGAGTGGAAATAAGTGCATGCTGGACCATAAGACAGCTCCCAAGGAGATATACAGAAGCTCTGAAGAGTGAAAGTCCTGCTCCAGTTGGAGATCTAAAGAAGGCTCCCACCAAAGACTGGGAGCTGAAGGGAGGTGAGGTCTCTTACCTGAGCCAATGCCTCTTACTCGTATTGGTGTGGCAACAGATGGCATCATACTGGTCAGCCAGCCACACAATGAGGATGATGTAAAATGCAGTCGTGGTGTCATTGAAGAACTCTGACATAATGGCCTCCATACCTACAGGACAGAGAAGGGCCTGACATCAGCACACTGCAGGGCAGACAATAGTTGCATTGCAGCAAAAATTTGCACGATTGCATGGCCAAAAAAAAAAAAAAGATCTCTGTTTAAAACAACAGCTAAGGTCAAGCAAGTTTCACTGCTGACTGAAGTCACCAACAGGCCAGGGGATCAGCTAGGTCTGAACAGCAGAGATCTCAGTGGTTTTGATTGTTGCTTTAAAACCCAAATTATGCTAATGGAATGTGGTTACAGAAAGTGTGAATCTAACATGAACTAAAGTGAGGAATGGGCAAAGCTTCAGTTTGTGTGATTTCCAAATAAACTGCTTTTCCAGGGGACTCAGAATGACAATGCAGCTCACTGTGCCATCAAATCCCAGAGCCTTCCACCTTGTGAAGGGCAGACACACTAACCATCTGCTCTGACCAGGTCAAAAAGGGAATTATACTTCCTACAGATCCCAGAGGGACTTGGAGCACAAATACAAGAAGTGAGCATGTTCTTACCTACTAGAGCCAGAATGACAGTGAGCAGGGGAGCTGCAGGGAATGCAATTGTCATGTTCATTTCCAGCATCTGTAACAGGTCAACTGCAAGAAGGAAAACTGTCACACAAAGAGAACACGAGGCCAAGGAACCCTCCAACCCCTGCATCACTCCACATTCAGAGCACTGCAATACCCCAAATCACACAGAAAATACCTACCAATGAAGACAAAGATCTGATGGTGCGAGTAGCGTAAGAGCATCGAAACAGACAGAGTCTGAAACAGGAGAACAGAAGCCACTGTCAGATTCCTGTCAGAATCACATCACAGCAGAGGCTCAGGCAGGCAAGCTCGGACTCGTAATGTTGCTGTGCACATCCCATATTTGTTAGTTTGAGCTACACAGGCCAATTTCTCAAAGAGTAATTAGGACGTCACAAACAGCAATTAATCTTCGTATTACTGCTGTAAAATAGACAGTAAGTAATTTGTTTGCAAAGAGACTGATTTTGAATATTTGAGCAGAGGCCAAACCAAACAGCAGCAGAGCTGGAACTGAGGTTTCTTCCTATTCTGTGCTCCTCCCAGTAGCTCAAACTGCCTGTCTGACAAAAGTCACCCTGCACTGTTTTGATTTCTTCTCTCACTGGTCGTAACATGCTCTTTGTTTTTAGGACTCTAAATACCCACATTAGGGGTTGGAAAAAAAAAAAAAAGCTTAGCTTTAAAAGCAGCTATGAGCTCAGGCCTCTACTTTAACAGCAAACCTTGCCCATGTGCTGAGCTCAGAGTCCAGGGAATGCCCAGCTCCTCCCAACTTACAAATATGACCATGATGACAAAGGCTGCCAGGTAGGATGTTCTAGCCATCCACATGCTGACAAAGCGATAGTGCTCCCCAGACACCACGTTGCGAAGGAAACCTGGGAAGAAAGAAAAAAAAGCACACAATCCCCATGGAACTAACTCACAGAAGAAGAACAAACTGCTTGTCGTGTCTGAGATCTATGCCAGCATCCCTCGCAGCTGCACACTTATTGTTATGCAGTGCAATAAGGCCATAGGAAATCAGTCTGCAGATGTCTCTTCTCTCCTGTTTCATTTTGTCCTCAGCAATAACATCCCTACATAACACAACGAGCTGTTCCCTGCATTAGAGATTAATCAAAGTCAGAAGATGACATACATGCACCTGTGGAAAAGCAGCAGTCCCTCTGCTAAAGCCATTCCTCCAACTCTTACCTTTGTTCTCTTCATTTTCAGCTAAGGCTTTGACACTGGACATCAGGATGTCATCATAACCCAGGAATTCATCCAGCAACAGACGACTGAACCTGTCCCCAAAGCACTGATCCCTGGTAGGATCTAGACAGAAGAGCAGAGCAGTTATACCTTACCCTTTTTAAACGTGAGCACAATCTTCTCATCATTTAAAGCAGACTTGCAATTGCACTCAAACCTCTGGCAGTGTAACTGAACTGGGCAGGACCGGGAAGCAAAATGTCACACCCTGACAAATATAGCCTCACTGGTAAAATGCTAATGCCAATCAGGCTTCAAGAATTCCATCTGTGCTGTCATACTCTCCACTGCCATACACATACAGGGAATTTGTCTCCTGGGCTTGGACTGCAGCCCCAGTAACAAAGGGCTCTCTCTCTAGCAACAGCCCTCAGAACAAGTCTGTGTGCAGCTCAGAGGGGCTGGCAGAGATGTTTCCTGCAGCTAACTGGGCTCTGTGTGGTGCTGCTGGGGCCCACAACCCCCCCCTCCCCAACACCTCCATGCAGCTCTCATGAAGCACAAACATGTATTCTACTGTACACTGATCAGCCTGTAAAAATACCCCCCAAAAAACATGAAGCTTAGAAACAATCTTTCAATAAGTTACTAAGATACTCATGCAGGAACTTTTCTAGGTGAACTGAAAAGCCCAGGTCAGTAAACAGACATTTAACATTGGCTCTTTCTTCGATTAGAAAGCTATGCTAGATGTAACACAAAGGCTCAGGCACCAGAACAGGCTCCAGCATTTCAGAGCACTCCTCTTGAAAAGGGTGTGACCAGCTTAAGCAATAATTGCTCCATAAAGCTCTCCTGCATAGAAAGCGAGCGCCATCAACTGTTATAAATAGTTCCCACAAGACTAAAGAGGAGATGGGATGAGTGTGAAGTTTGGAAGAGGGCTGCCAGCATGCAGGTATCTCTGCAGACACATCTCTGGCAGGGCTGGCTCCCTCACTCACCCAAAGTCACCACCATCACAGGGATGCTGAGGCGCTGCCGTGTGCTCTGGGACAGGCGCAGGAACCCATACTCCAAGGAATACTCCACAATGTACTCTTCCTGTGGCCACACTGCAAGAGAAGGTGGGAAGGGAGACTCAGCACAAGGCTATGCAGACAGTCAGCAAGAAGAAACAGGCTCTCGTGTTTGTTTTGCTTTCAGTTTTCACTACAAAACTGTTTTAAGCTCAAACGAAAATAAAGCGTTGAAGTATCAATGCATGAATCACTTTATTTGTACCACAGATCATTTTACCATGGTAATACACTCTAAACATTCAACTTGCTGTACTTACAGGACAGAAGAGCTGGAAAAAAAAAAGCTAACAAGATAGGATTTTCTAACTACGTTAAGAAGGGGCACAGTTCTCTCTTCTACCACACTGCTGGATCATTTCCAGTTTGGTATTCAGCAAATCGAGGCACAACCTGTCAGCACACACAACACTGGACAACATGACTCTTATAGAACTTAGGCAACCTGTTAATTAAGGTATTGCACCAAAAATATTTAAACATTGCCCAGTCTTAAGAGACTTAATGATCTCAAATACAGGACTAATGAGTTCTGGATCAGGATCAAACAAAAAGCTTTGCAAGACTGAGGGAACAGTGCTGTTGTGGTGTCCAGGCTCACAATCCTCAACATTAGCAGCTCAAGTCGTGCTGAAACAAGAAGGATAGAGCAGGACAATATTTCAAATGCAACAGACTATCAACACAATCTTGCAATCTACTCCAACTTGCTTGGTGGCTTTCAGGATTAGTTTGCTATTCCAGGCACTGGTGTTGACTCAGGGACCCAAAATACTGTTAATACAGTAAGGAATGTGCACTTTCAGTTGGACCCCTGCTGGTTTCAAGAGGACAGCAAATGCAGAACTGCTCAGAAGAAAGAGGTTTACATTTATCTGACATAGCTGGCACTGATTTGCTGCAGAAACATAATGCCAGACCAGAAGGCTCCAGCAAATTTTACAGCCCAGATGCAACCCACCCAACTCCCAGCCTCCCTCCAACAAAAGAAAACTGTAGATCTGGTGTCAGGAGTGACAAGATTCACCACAGGTTAAAGCAACAGGGATAGCCAGGGGACAATTAAGGTTGCTAAGTGCAGGCCCAGGGAAGCCAGGAGAAGTGCAGGGAAGATGCAGGGGAAGGAGAGAGCACAGATAGCGACGTAAGTTGTCTTTACCTGCTCTGGTTAGCATCTCAAACTCGGACACAGTCTCCCGCAGAGGCTGCATACCTTTAGTGGTTGCTTCACTAAATGAGAACTCCTGGCTTTCGTTGTGGGCCAGCGCCTCGGTGCTGCTCATCCGGGATGGCTTGAGGAACACCTTGGGCTCTATATCCAGCTCAAACTGTTGGGGAACAGTGACAGAAGAGGTCAGGTTAGCAGACAGGTCAGCTCCAAGCTCCTGTGCTCCCTCTCCGTGCCCCAAGCCAGCAAGAGGAAGACAAGTGAGGTCATTTGCTCAGGCTTTAACTTCTACCTTAAAATGTCAGAGGCTAACCAGGAAATGCAGGAAACACAGATTCTGAGTGACTGAGGGCAAACAGAGGGACCACGGCACATTCACAGCATATGCATCAAGCTGTTTCATCCCAAACCCACGCTCACCTCACCCCGTGCACACAGGGAACACATCTTTACCTTGATAGAGCTGTTTTCAAACATATCCACAGTCATTTCCTCTTCTTCCTCCTCCTCTTCCTCAGCCGTGGGCTCAACTACCATTCCTGGAAACTTCTCAGCACCACAGAACTGAAGGAAGATGGGGGCCCGGCTGGAGTTGCGCTGGATTTCCACCCTCAGGATGCCATCACGTGGCCATTTGTCTCTCACATGCTCCAAACAGTTTATGGGCGAGCGGGAGAAGGCGATGTGAATGTATGCCAGGATGAAGAGCACAAAGAGAGCCTACAGACAGCAGGAAACAAAGCAGAGGCTGTCAGCCCAACCAAACGTTGCCTGTTGACAGGCTGCCCAGTTTCAGCCATCTCTTCTTCACACACAGACACTGCAGGTGGATGAGAGCCTTTAAGCTTTCTAACCCTATAGCTTGTATTTGCACCAAACGATACAACAGCCCCAAATCAACTTCTCTCCCATCTCCACAGCTTATATAATACTCCCTTTGTACTTTGTCCTCCTGATACCTCGCTAACCTGCTGAAACCTCGTCTTTCTGGGGTAAACACTAAGAGGCCTAAAGCTTTTCCTGGGAATGAAAGCTCCCAAGGTGCCTTTGACCAAAACTTCTCCATTACTGCACTGTGCTGGGGTTGAGTGCAGCTGGCTGCCACCCAGGAGGCACGCTGCCATGTTAACACATACACTGCCTAGGGTCAAAGAAGTGCTGACTCGCACAAAACCACGTGCAAAACGCCCAGTGCTTGCATCTGTGTGTATCAGGGCACAGCACTTTCTTCTGAGCTCCAGCAGCATTCAGCACAGGTACAAAGCAGGCCACTTGCTGCTGAATTCCTACTGAATTCTCCCTCATTTCAAAGTGCCAAAGTGTTTCCAGGAAGAAACTCCCAACCCACAGATTGGTTTTTTGTCAACTGATCCGCTGCTAACTCAACCCAACCACCAGGAAAGGCTACCCAAGCTTATTCAGAAAGGTCTTAAAACACCAGGATCAATTTGTGTTGGATTTCTGCTCAGCCAGGCAGATGTTAACCACAGGAGGGAAATAAACTGAATTCAAAATAAAAGGCTGCAGAGGACTACCTGCAATTACTTGGGTTTGTGCCACATCCAGCACGACAGAGCCACGCTCTGGGCTGTGGGGTTTCAGCATTACAGCACCAACAATACAAACACACCCAAGGCAGCAGCAAGAACCAACGCCAGGAGCTGGGTTGCAAAGGTGTATTGTTATCAGAACAAAATGGCTTGCTTTAAAAGAATGCATTTGGCCCAAAGCTCAGACAACAGCCAGCCTACAGATGAGCAATGGGACCTCCATTAAAAAGACCTTCCAGCGCATCATTCCTAATTGAAAGATGCTTTCAACCCAAGGAACAACTGCAAGTCACAGCAAAACAAAGTGAACTAATAAAACCCATTTCCTATAATGAAGTTACCCAACACTGTCCGAAGTTCAAGCTCCAAAGAACACCTGTCTATAAGCAGCATGGCTGCATTTCATGCACTCACTTTCAAAATGCATTAAGATGCTCCTTCTCGATTAAAGTATCTGTCCTTGCTACACGTTGTGCCTGACCTATTTGTTATGAATAAACAGGCTGGTAGCATCACATCTGCAGAGGAGCTGCAGAGGAAAATGCTGGGGAAGGTAATCCCCAAACAGATCCACGGTGCAGGGGGAATGGTGATGAAAGCAGCCAGGATGCCAAGCACTGCATGCAGGCCACAGCCTCAGACTTGGCCTCCCACCACTATCCTCATACAGAACCACAGGGGGGCTGAAAGCACAGCTGCCTGCTAACCCTAAGGGCAGAAGTAAGGATCTCCTCTGGGAATACCTGAATTTTCTCAGCGTGCTTCAATTAAAAGCAGGTGGCAGCAGGAACTTCTCCTGGCTGGGCTGCGTGACAAAACCTGAACGTTGACTGGGCAGGGAGAAAAAGGTGTCCATGTAATACAACACAGGGTAACCTACATGTGGCTGGCTTTTACAACCCTGTGTTCCCAGGGTTTAGAACCCAGGGCACAAAGAACCCTGTTGTTACCTAGCTGGCTCTCTTTTGCCCCCCTCTCTTATTTCCAGAGGCAGGAGGGCACAGTGAGCTCTGGAAGCCGCAGGGCAGCACTTCACCTCATACAGAAACACCAGGCTGATGTCTGGTCCCCACAGGGGACGCTGTAACTTCCATACCCTGCAGAATTCAGCTTTGCCACTCCGTGGACCTCACATTACATCAGCAAAAACGCAGGCAGGTTTCACCCCACGGAGAAGACGCCCGGCACACAGCAGAGGGCATCGATTACCGTGAAGAAAAACGGTAATAAAACAGAGCTTCGCACCGATTGCACCCAGCGGGGACGGCACTCCACCGGCACGGCAGCACTCGGGTACCTCACGTGTGTGATGTACACAAAGACAGGCTGCTGGGAGCCCCCCCTAGGCCTCACCTTGAGCAGCACGAAGAACTCGAAGACCCGTCTGAAGGAAGGAGGGAAGAGCCGCGCGTAGGTCACTGCCATCTTGAAGAAAAGCGCGTGGAAGAGACGATCGCGGACATTAATCAGAGGGTTCTGATTGAGGGCAGCGTTCCTCCCGGCCCTGTTAGTGCCCCCCGCGGCCCCGGTGTGGTTGGCCGGGGGGTGCTGGCCGTGGGGCTGCGCTTCGGACATCGCGGGGCCTTCGGGAGGCGCTCAGCACCCCGCGCTGCTCGGGCCCGGCCCGGCCCGGCCTTCCCCCGCAGCCACAGCCGGGCACGGAGCGCTGTAGGCCCGGGCGGGGCTCTCAGCGGCCCTCGGAGCGGCCCCGCGGCGGCGCTGCTCGGATGGGACGCGGCTCCCGAGGCGGCCCCGAGGCCATGAGGCGGCCCGGAGCGCGGCGGTGCCTCCTCTTCCTCCTCTTCCTCCTCTCAGGGCCCCGGCCGCCCCTCAGCGCCCCGCCGCCATCTTCCGGCACACACAGCGCCGACGCGACGCAGCGCCGCGAGGAATTGTGGGACGGCGGAAGAAGGGCGCCCGCCCCGCCCCGATATGTAAAGTAGAAACCTTCCCGCCGTGCACCGCGCGCCGCAGGCACTTATTTGAGGTAATTCAGCCCCGAAAAAGCCAAATTTTCTGCGAAAAAGAATGACACTCAGCGGAATAAGTAGGAGTTTTTGTTGAAGGGGTAATATTAGAAGAAGTATGCAGATGGTAAAAGGCCAGCTCACCGTTACTTAATAATTATAAAGTTAGAGAGGTTTAAATAGTATCTGAGGGAGAATAGGAATCGTGCTCGCTTCGGCAGCACATATACTAAAATTGGAACGATACAGAGAAGATTAGCATGGCCCCTGCGCAAGGATGACACGCAAATTCGTGAAGCGTTCCATATTTTTTTTCTTTTTCCCCCGCACACCGACACCCGACGGTGCCGCTCCGGACCTCTTTTTCCCTCCCCCCCATCCCCCGCCCCGTTTTGCTACAGCCACAAAGCACGGCGCTCCGCCTGCGGCACCGCAGCGCTTTATTATTCCATTCGCTATGTGACAGCAACGCGAGCAGCACAACCCGGCGCCCAGCTCCGGGTGCAGGGGAGAGGACCAGCCTTCCCCTGCAGCTCCGAGCCGGGGAATCGTAACCCCAGACCAGCAGGAGCGGTGCAGCCGGGCTCCAGGCCAACAGCAGACCGGGATCAGTGGTTGTGTCCCAACCGGGAGCAGGGCTGGGTCGGGGGGTGGTGGTCCAGGAGCGGTGCAGCCGCATTCAGAGCACGCTCTCCTGATAGCTGTCGTCCTTTAGAAACGGCATCGGTCGCTTCCCGGGCACTGGAACCATATCCTGCCCTGAGGTTGCATCCTGCGCTGATCTCACGTCCTGCCCCTGGTCCCCGTCGCTCTGCTCCCTTGCAAAGTGCACAAAGACCTGCAGGGATGGGGAGTGAGCAGCAGAGCAGGAAGGACCCCGTCCTCATCATACACCCTGCCGCCCCCTCCCCACACCGCCATCACCTGGTCAAGGGTGGTCTGGGACACAGAATAGTCCTGGATGGGGCCGTGCCCGCAGTGCTCTGCCAGCACGCCGAACACGTGTGCCAAGGAGCAGGCGTGGGAAGGCAGGCGGTACTGCAGCGTGCTGCCGTGCTGCTCCTGCAGGGCGATGCCGGGAAAGCTGCACTGCATCAGGTGCTGCACAGTGCCCAACTCAGGGCCGGGCCCCGCCGCTCGCACCACCACTGTGTACCCATCCCCAAACCTGCACCAAAGAAGGGACGGCAATGCAGGCAGTGCTCGCCCCCAGCGCCGCCCCCAATCAATGGGGCCACCCCCACCCATTACCGGTTCTTAAGATGCTGCACGCTGCCCAGGCAGCGAAATCGGCCGTTGACCATGATGGCCATCCTGGTGCACAGCGCCTCGCACTCCTCCATGCTGCCGGGGGAGGGGGGGAGGTGTGAAGCACACAGCAGGAACCACCCCAGGTATCCCCTGTGCTGGGAACCCACCTATGGGACGTGAGCAGCACGGAACGGCCCTCCCTGACCAAGCTGAGGATGCAGTCCCACAAGAAGCGTCGGGCACCTGGGTCCATCCCCGTCGTGGGCTCATCCTGCAACCTCAATGTCAGCTCCCCATCGGATCCTGCCCCACGGCTGCCATCCCCCCCCCACTGCCCCACTGACCAGGAAGATGATGGGGGGGCTGCCGAGCAGGGCGATGGCTGTGGACAGCTTGCGCTTGTTGCCCCCACTATAAGTCCCTGCCAGGCGGTCTGCATGTGGTCCCAAGCCCAGCTTGGCAATGCCCCACTGAGCCACCTGTGAGAGTGTGTGTGGGGGTGAGGATGGGGCTGGAGGGGCTGGGGGGAGGTTAGGGTGTGGGCTGTACCCTGGGGGTCTCCTCCTCCGGCACCCCACGCAAACGGCTGTAGAACTGCAGATGTTCCCTCCCCGTCAGCAGCTCCGTGATGGCATCAAATTGTGGGCAGTACCCCATGTTCTGATGGACAGCCTGCAGGTCGGTGAGCACGCTGCAGGATGGGACATGGTGAGTAGGCTGCGGGACAAGGGACAAGCTGCAGGAACCAGGGAGAAGCTGCAGGGACAAGGGTGAGGCTGAGCATGCAGCAGGGTTAGGAATGAGCAAACTGCAGGGATGAGGATGAGGATGAGGATGAGGAAGCCAGCACGCGGGTTGTAGGGATGAAGGTAATTGTGAGCACACGGTGAGGAGAGATGACGGTGCATATGCTCCCACCTGTGTCCCTTCAGCCAGGCCTCCCCCAGTGTCACTTCTGTGTCCCCCGTCAGCATCTTGAAGGTGGATGTCTTCCCAGCACCATTCACCCCCAGCAGCCCGAAGCACTGTGGAGCAGTGGGTTTAGCAGCAGCCCTGAACCCCCTCCACAGTGCACAGTCCCCAGCACTCACCTCACCAGGTGGGACAGCCAGGCACAGCCGGTCCACTGCTGGAGCGCGCCGGTACCGATACACCTACAGGGATTGGGATCACCGTCAGGCACAGCACCTCCTGTCCAGGAGACACAGCACCCATCAGTGGGATGGAGGACATGGGATGGGGCACCGGGCAGCCACGCACCTTAGTCAGGTCCTTCAGCAGCAGGACGGCACTGCGCCGTGTGGTGCTGCCCACCCGCATCCGCTCCCGGGCTACATCCTCATCCTCATCCCCCAGTGAGGGCAGCTGCAGAGCACGTGGCCTGGGGGAGTAGCAGTGGGGAAGCTTCAGAATCCCCTATAGTCCCCATTGCTTCCATCATCACCCCATTGCTCCCGGCCAGCCCTCACCGGAGCCGCAGGAAGAAGCGGTACTGCAGCAGGAGGGTGAAGAGGAAGAAGATGATGCCCTCGATGGCCATGGCAAACATGTTCTTCCCTGCTAAGTCCCAGGACAGCGGGGACACGAAGCGCTTGTCTCCTATAAAAGGAGGGGAAAGGAGCTGCAGGATGGGGGGCACCAGGAGAGGGGGATTTGGGCAGGGGAGCAGCCTTGCACCTCTGCACTCACCAAACCTCTCGAAGGCATCGGCCATCGCCTGGTTCTTCACCATGTCAATGAGGCCTCGGCCCAGGCAGAAGTGGGGGAAGATGAGGAAGACTTTCTTCAGGATGCGGTTGATGTCGTTGAGCTTCTATGGGGCAGTGAGGGAAGGATGGGAGAGCTGGCAGAGCCAGCCAGCCCCATTGAGGGTTGGGTTCCAGCTCTCACCTGGTCCACAAAGAGCTCCAGCACGAAGGTGGCCACGCTGCCATTGATGCCAATGAAGAGGTTGACACACGTCAGGGCCACGTAGGCCGTGCTGGGGATGCTGAAGAGGAAGGAGGCCGGGTACATCAGGGGGGTGATGGACCACCTGGAGGGCAGAGGAAGGGGCTGACGATGGTGCACTTGGGTGCACCCACCCCCATCCCATCCCGGGCTCCGCCGGCCCTTCACCCGTAGAGCAGCAGCAGCAGCACCAGGGCAGGCAGGTTGGCCGAGGACACGTAGGACTTCTGCTGGAAGCAGAGGAAGATGAGGACAACCAGCAGTGCGGGGACCAGGTAGTTGCACTATGGGCACGAGAATCCGGGCAGGGGGTGACAAACAGGTCCTGGCCCTCAGGAGCCACAGACGTGCCCCATCCTGACCCCATCCCCATCCCGCACCATGTCCCAAGCAAAGTTGCCCAGCCAGTAGGTGACGGGTTTCATCCCACTGATGAACTGCAGGTGCTTGGCCTTGCTGACCCGCTCCTCAATGAGGAAGAGCACAAAGCTGGCTGGGACGAAGGACATGGCGAAGATCACGCAGATGGAGACCAGCACGTCCACCGACGTGGCCATCCTGCAGCAGAAGGGGAGGTCAGAAGGCAATGGGGAGCCCACGGGAGCCCAAACCCAGTACTCACAGTGCAGCCTCTGAGAGCTGCTCCTTGGTGAGGTTCAGGGGGTGGTTGATGGCTGTGATGCCATAGAGTGCAGGGTCAGAGCCTGCAGGGAGCTGTGCCCTCAGCAGCCCATTGCTGGCCACGTTGAGGAAGGAGACCATGGCGTGCCAGCCCTTGTTGTTGAACCACACCTGCAGCCCAAAGGTTCTCTCTGGGCTCTGTTCCACTTCTCTCTGCCAGCCCGTGGCACTGCTCCCCACACCAAAGAGGGGACACAGCCGGTGCCACATGTCCCCATGCCTCCAGCCCTGAGCTCACCTTGATGTTCCTGCGTGCATCCAAACCCTCGAAGAAGTGGCTCAGGTTGCCCAGGAACTGATCCATGGGGCTGCCCTGGGGCAGGACAGGGGGTGAGGTGCAGCTCATTCAGCAGCCCTCCCCGTGCCCACTCAGGTGGGAACAAACCCTGGCCATACCTGGGTGACATTGAAGAGCTCTCTCAATTCCTGCACTGCACTGCCCACCTCCTCTGCTGATGGAAGGAGCTGAGAGCTACCAGCACCCAGGGAGAAGCCACCATACCTGGACGTGCAGGAGAGCTGGGTGCTTCCAACCCTCCCATGGCACTGCATGGCCACCCTGCCCAAGCTGACCCACTGCCCCCACACCCACCTCTGCTCGTTCACCCACTTCTTGGTTTTGAGCCTGGAAGAAACAGGGCAGAAGGGGGAAACAGCAGTGAGGAGACATCACAGCAGTGTGCGACAGCTCAGTCGTGAGATGGATCGCATTCTGCCTGCCCTGTCTTCCCCACTACCCTCCCTGTGGTCTCCCCATAGTGTCCCGGTGGTGTCCCCACACACAGGACAGGTTCTGGGAGTACTCACCCCTGGCGAATGAGCTGGGGGTAGGTTTTCACCAGGTAGTCAGAGATGTTCCTGCCCGTCAGGTTCAGCAAGATGTCCCCTGTGCCTCTTTGCACCTGGTGGGAACGGACAGATGGACGCACAGCCCCACCACCTGCCTGGACCTGAGCGGCAGCCGCGGGTACCTGGGGTGGTGGGAGCCCTCCGGCGGCCGTGGGGCACTCGGGCAGCATCCTGCGCGCTCCCGGCCCGCTGC